AAACTCAACAACCTCAAGTGATTATCAAATGTGGCTAGATTTTATTTAAGAAACACATTAGGGCCCAGATGTAGTGCAAGTGACAGAATGCTTGCCAAGCGCAGGAGTCCTAAGATTGTATCTCCAGCTCTGGGGGAGTAGGGGGCAGGGAGAGGAAGAAAAAAAAAGGAAAAAAAGAAAAGAAATCCTGATATATAAAAAAAATCTTATTTTCAAAGTTAGAGAACTCTTAGGAGGTGGCCTTTGGGCAATGAATTTTCACTTTTCAAAAGATTATTCCACTGAACATTTTTTAAAAATGGGTACTATCTCCAATGTATTGAAGTTATTGGACATAAAAAAAAATCATTGMAATCAACTTAACAAATCTCTAGTGACAATTTTTGAACCTCAAATTGAGATACACTAATCTATTGTTTGACATTGTTCTGAGAAATCAAAGGCATTTTTAAATCACATTGTTATAAATGTAACATTAGTATTACTTAACATGATATTTAATTTTATTGAAAATAAAATTAGGACTGCTCAAGTATATCTGGGATTTATGGTTGGCCCAGAGAGATACATTTGGAGACTTCCTCTTCCATCTTAACATCCATCTCACACCCCCCCTCCCGTTATTTTGCATCCATTTCCCACTGAATGTGAACCTATCCAATTTTGAGTCAATGTAGACATGATATCAATTTCCAGGTCAGTTTTACTCTATGATATATATTCATTGTCAAGAAACAAACAACCAGTGGCAGGGATAGTGAGCTAAAAAAATAAGTGTAATTAGTACATAATCTTCACAGATGCCGTCCACTCTTTGCTTTCTATTATAGTATTCCCAGGCATAAGAGCAAAATTAGCCATCCAGCCTACCTGGCCCGAGTGGAAAATGAATCCATAATGCAGAGATAATTAAACAGCAGTGCAAAAGGAAAAGCAGCCCCTTGATAAAGTGACACAGGATGGAGGAAGAATTGCTGAAGCCAATCCATTCTGAACTGGAACATACACTGTCCTCCTAGAATCCTTAATTGGTGCCTTCCTGCAAGAGAAACCACAGCCAGGCTCTCTGGTCTTTTTATATGTTTTAGGAAGATCTGGCTAAGCAAAATCAAAACAAAAGCACTGGCGATAAGTAGAACAAAAATTGACTTTCTGATAAAGGAAACTGCTCCATGGAAACCAAAACACATCTCGGTCTTATTACTTTGCTTTGAGAAGCTGTGGTTTTTAGATTACATAGCACATTATTTGCCTTTCCAGTCATCATACTGTCATATTTTCTTCACTAAGATAATAAAAAAAAATCTCATTTTCCAGTTGTATTCAAACAACTCCTTGGACTGAGAAGAGGAACAAGAACAGGAGCAGGAAGAGGGAAGCAGCTTCTAAAGGCAGAAAACAAGATTTTCCCTTTCTAACTACCAATCTCTTCCATTACTTTTTTTCATATCAGCATCCCTTGTGTATCTATTTCTTGGTTAGTTTATTTCCTGCCCTTTAAAGGCAAAATGTGAGCTCTACAAGGGAAGGACTTCGTTTTATCTGGTGTTATACTCCCAGCACTCAGAGAAATGCTGCATATGTACTTTGTACTCCATAAATATTTGTTAAAGTTTAAAGGGTTTTGGTGGTATAAAGGTGTATTAAGAATTGTAATGCAAAATAATAATAATAATAATAATAATAATAATAAGAAGAAGAAGAAGAAGAAGAAGAAGAAGAAGAAGAAGAACTCATGTACAATGGCATAATTTGACGTGAACACACGTCAAATTATACAGAGTTATGAAAAATTGTGTTGTGAATGGATAATTATGATTGTAACACATTCCACTATTGTCATGTATATAAGAAATAAAAAAATTTAAAAAAAGGTTTTGTAGAAGCAAAAATGTGGAGAAGAAACATTTTTAAATAATCTTTTCTTTCGGCTATGAACAAGTAATACAGAAGACTTCCTAGAGCCAAAAGAAGAATGAGAGGACATTTTTCAGCTAGTGGAGATCCATCTGCTGATCCCTGGGCATTATAGGGCTATCCCTAACAAGCTGTTTTTTCATCTACAAAGAGACATGAAAGAGCAAGTAGCCTTGGCAGGATTGGTATTTTCTACAACAGGTATTTTGTCACAGCAATGGAAAGCAAAAAAAACTAGAGGTAGTTATGTCACAAAGACTCTGCCCTCATGAATGAGATTAGTGTCTTCATAAAAGGGCCTGAGTGAACCTGTTTGCCCTTTCCACCATCTGAGGATGCAGCAGAGGCATTAGCTATGAGGATTGGGCCCTTACCAGACATACAATCTCCAGTGCTTAGATTTCCAATATCCTAGCCTCTAGAACTGTGGGCAATAAATTTCTTTTCTTTATAAATTACCCCATTTAAGGTAGTTTGTTAGAACAGCTAAGATGGCCTGAGACAGATGACCAAGGAGGGTCTTCCTGAGTATGATGATTCTTTTTTCTTTTTCCTGTCAATTTGGCAAGGCTACAATATTCAGTCTTCCAATCAAACACTAACATAAGTGCTATGTGAAGGTGTTTTGTGAATGTGATTAAAATCCATAACAAGTTGATTTTAAGGAAGGGAGTTTATCCTAGATTATTCTAGATAATCTTTGTGGGCCTGTGATAGACCCAACCTGATTTTTCTCTTAAAATTGGGAGCCACCTCGCCACAAAGCCATGAAAAGCTAATTTTGGCTTTACTATAAATTACTACAAATTCTGAACCTGCTTGGAATGCCTGCCCATGCCTTGAACTCACCCATGCCTGGCTCTCTGACCAGATAGCAGCCCTCTCTGAAACTTTAGTGACGCCTCATAAATCTTGGCCTTCCCTGGCCAGATAACGACCCTCTCTGAGGCTCTAATGACCTTCATAAATTCTGATGCCAGAGCCAGCAAAAATCTTATGCTCGTCAAAGTTTTGTTATCTGTAACCCCGCTTTGTGTAACTTTCTGGGCTATAAAGCTGGGCTGCAAGAAAGCTGCGGTGCTGTCTTGTTCCTGCAGTTTGGGGTGGGAGAGGCAGCCTGGCCAGTCAAAATAACAAGCTTGCTTTAATTTGATTTTAATTGGAGTCAGTGGTCTTTTCTTGCGTCCTGATCTAACACCTGATCCAAACAGTTGAAAGGCCTTAAGAACAAACTGAGGCTTCCCTGAAGAAGAAATTCCACTTGTGGACAGCAGTTACACCCTTTGTATAAGAGTTCCAGCTTGGTCTACAGATTCTGGACTTGCCCAGCCAGGGCCCCACAATCACATAAACCAATCCTTTGCAATAAATCTCTCAATATATGTCTTTGGCTGGTTCTGTTTCTCTAGTTGAACACTGAGTATGTGACATCTGAGGTCATAGATGTTAGGGGTGGAGGACAATTGGAAGCAGTTGAGGGTGGAAAGTCAGTTTGGCTTCTTGGAGAAAAAAAAATGGGGCCCTCTGAAAGAGGAAGAGAAGCATGAAATGCAAGACAAGAGATGTAGTCTGGCTGGATCTGATCCAGAGACAAGTTATGGAAAGATTTTTAAAAGAATGGGAAGTAAATAATTGGATTTTTTTTTTTTTGATTACCAAGGATTGAACCCAGAGGTGCTTAACCACCAAGCCACATCCCTAGTCCTTTTTCTTTTCTTTTTTTTTTTTTTTTTTTTTTTTTTTTTATTTTGGGACAGGGTCTCATTAAGTTGCTTAGGGCCTGGCTAAGTTGCTGAGACTAGCCTGGAATTTTTGATCCTCCTGCCTCAGCCTCCCATTCCCTGAGGAACTGAAAAACTTCAATGAAAAATAAATCCTAAAACAAGAAAAATTCTGTAGAAGCTAATTTTATTTGAACAGGGCTTACTAACATTGCATTTTAACACAAAAACCGACATCAAATGAAAAGTATAGAAAAGTGGCATTTATGAATGGTGATATGTTCAACAGCATCATTCATTTATCACAGGAAAATACGTAGAGTAGCAGGATGTTCCGAGACAACAGGATTAAAGGTGTGCATGGTTTCTGAACTTGATTTTTAAAGGATGGTTTTGCTGTAAGAGAATGACCTGGATGAGAGTTGGGGGTGGGAGTGATTTCACAGGTCAAGGATGGAAGGAACAGGGCTGGGATTGCGGCTCAGTGGTAGAACTTGCCTAACATGTGTGAGGCCCTGGGTTTATAAATAAAATAAAGATATTGTGTTTTTCTACAACCAAAAAAAAAAATTAAAAGATGGAAGGAACAACAGTGGAGAAACATGCAGGGAGATTAGAGATGGTGGGGCAAATGGTGCAAAGTGGAAGAAATAAATTTCAACAAAAACTTGCAGGTGAATTAAGTATGTGGTGATGAGGTGTGCTAATGGTGACTTTCCAGTTGCTTGAGCAACTGGGAGAAGGGTGAATTCCTTTACAGAGAGGGAGATCAAGGAACAACTGGTTGGAAAGAGGGCAAGGTCATGAATCAAAAGCTCCCATTGAGGTTGATTTCGATTTGATAAGACTTAGGCATCCAAATAGGTGTCAAATAGTCAATCTAAAATCAGGTGTGAAGCCCGGCAGAGCACAGAACTAGAGATACTAAGTTGAAAAAAAAAAAAAAAAAACAGCAGGTAGAGGGCCACAACTGACCTATGGGAAAGATAAGATCACTCAGATTAAGAAAAGGGCCACGGGTGGGAAGGCGAAACTCTAACATAGAAAACCGCAACGAGACTGAAAGGAACACTCGGGAGGTCAGAGGGACACCTTCATAGTGTGATCACAAGTATCAAAAGGTGGTAAGGATGTAAAATRGGGTCATAGCGATGTGAGCTGGGCTGGAATAAATGTTTTAAAATCGACTCGATGCATCCCTGGTCAGTGCTGAGGTCCTCAGTGGGCCAGGCGTAGCGGCCCACCCCAGCGCACACCGCCATCCTCKACGTCTGCGAGCTTCCGGCGCCTTCCCCCGGCCCCGCCCCTGCCCACGCCGCGCGCAGGCCCAGCGGCTCCGCCCCGTCCCAATCCTGTCAGGCTGTCCAATCGCTTGTAGAGATTGTCGCTTTATCCAGTCTGTGGTGTTGATCACGGCTCCAGCTGTAGATCAGGCCCGTACAATGGCGGAGAAGACTCAAAAGAGGTGCGTCTGCTGCTTGAGGAAAGATTGTTCTAAACTTTCCGCACGGGGGGAACCTATTTCTGGTCGCCAGTGTTGGGGACTGAGGTGGTGTCTCACTCTGGGCGCTTGGGCTGATTGGTACCTAAACCTAAGACCTGGCTTCCGCTGAGAGGAGGTGACCCAGTGGGGGTAGAGAGGACGGAGAAGGGATACAGCTTTGGTATCGCGACCGTTTTGGTTCTTGCTTCCCTCACGCCCTCTGCCGCAGCACGCCTGCGCAGAAGGGTCCCGGCCTATTCCCCGGACGCTGGGTGAAACCGCCTTCATTTCTCCCATTCTCTTGTTGCCAGTGCGCGTACGGCCTGTTGCTGGACTTTGTTGCGAGACGCCGGCGCCAGTGCTGGTCACACCCTAGTAACCTATGGGTTTTCTGGATGGCAGCGGAGGTGTAAACTGATTCGAGGTTGCGCGTCAGAAAGGGGGCCGTGCTTGGGCCAGGTCTGTGACTGGTTCTGCCAGGCGTGTAGGAGCTCCCTGTCAACTTGGGGGAGAGGAACTGTGGTTGCTTCTTCGCTAGGGACTCTTGGTATTCCACCTAGAAACAGCTTGGATAAGAGAAATGCCTACGTAAAAGCATTTCCAAAAGCAACTGTGTTGAGCGCCCTCTGCTGACTCTGGCAAAACCGATATTGGTTTTGTGCCATAAGTTGAAATTTAGGCTTTTGTTCCACTTAGAGGGTAATCTGTAATTTTTTTCAAAAACTAAAGAAAAACATTACTATAAATATTATATACCGTATATTCGTAGCATAAGGTGAAGAGGGAGGTATTATTGACTTCTAATAAGTCTGCATGCCTGCCCTCCCCTCGGAACTGCCTTCTTCCCGCTGCACCCCATACTCCCATACTCCGAGGTCCAACGGGGTCAACGTTTTAATTTGTTTAATTGTTAAGTACGTCGCGAAGAAGCATGCAGATGGCGACATAAACACTACTTATGATCTCTTCTTAGGACATAAATCTAAAGACAGATCATGTATGAGTTTCTTCTACCCCGACTTGAGACACTATTTAAATAATGAGAAGGGATTGAGGGAATGAAAAACTTCAATGAGAAATAAGGGCCTAAAAGAAGAGAAATTTTGTAGAAGCTAATGTTATTTGAACAGAGCTTAATACCATTGCATTTTAATACAAAAAACCACGTCAAATGAAAAGTATCAGAAAAGTGGCATTTATGAATGGTGATATGTTCAAGAACAGCATCATTCATTTATCACAGAAAAAATATGTAGAGTGACAGGATGTTTCCAGACAACTTTGAACTAACAGAAAAGAGATGACTAATGACAGGACAATGATGCCCCAGCAATAAACTTTGCTTTAAGAAATTCCAATCTCTGAATGTGTTTCCTTGTCTATAATCTGAGAAGGTTGAAAGAGATGATTTTCCTCTTTTTTACTTTGCTCTATCTTACTAAAGTTTTCTTTCTTTTTTGATCTCAGTATGAAGGTTATATTTTTTCTGTGATTTCAGCAGATTGATTCTTGAYAGGACATAGGATAATTCTGAACGGATCACTTGGAAGAATTTCATTAAATTATTCCTTGTAGAAAGTCAGTGCCAGATAAAATGATGGAATCAGATATAGCTGTCTCATCTTGCAAGCATTTCATGAAMTAGACCCAAGGATTGTTCATTTTTTTCTATTTTATATATGTGTGTGTGTGTATACATTTTTTTTAACTTAGATCTTTACAAAATAGGTGTTGATGGGAAAGCTTCTTTTTTTAGTTCTTCATATCAGTAGAGAAATTAGTGTGATTTTTAAAAATACTTTGAGAATTGCTTTACATTTATATTAGGRAATATTGGGGATTCTGGAATCTAAATGATGAAGAGACATATTTAAAAGAGAATCCATACTTTTTTTTATTCTTGGGGCTATGTTTTTAGAATTCTCTCATAAGTCCAGATCTGTATTTTCAGTGGTTATTGGGAGTATCTCCTTCCTTTTCTATAAATACTTAAGACTGATTTTACCTTGAAATGTGCCCTTCTCCCATAGACTTTCTCTGTTGRTGCCATCAGTCCTGCAAATCAGAAACCTAGAAGCTTTGATTTTGCTCCCTGGCTCCTCACCTTTGCTTGGTTTTCTGGCACTAATGGAAAACTGAGTCAGAGCAACTATATTGAGCCCCTCTCTCCATCTGGAATCATCCCTTCCAGGAAGGGGACAGAATGGTTAACCAGTTTCCTTATTTCACTCTTCACCCCTCTCCCCATTCCCTCCTTAGTCAAACATATTTTCCTGGCTCTGAGAAGAAAGTAAATACATAATTTGTGGTCCATAGGTCATAACAAGGAATGGGAAGTACACATCTCCCATTTTTTTYCTCAAAGCCAGATTTTATTAATTATAGTACTTGTTGACAAGTCTCGTATCAGTTTCCTAGCCATACCTACAGCTTCTAAGTATTGCCACCTCCTTTCAGGCCCAGGTAATCTCTGCAGGATTAGGCTCCCTAGGCCCTCTTCCCACTACTTCATCTTATAAACACCAGTTATCTAAATACMGTTTGGTTGTTGTTGTCTTGGGAATGAGAAGCCTTTAGGAACATCTTGTTTACAAGTATGAATCTCCTATACAGATTTGTTCATGAGTGGTCCTTCCTTTGCTTCCCAGCCTCATCTGCCCTTTTTTCTGCCTACTTTGGATATTTCTACTAATTTCAGTGATGTTCAACCTGGAAAGAGAGGTTTTTTCCTTTGTTACTTTCTAGTCTTTGCCTAGATGTGTATTTTAAATAGGTAAAATTGTGTTTTAGTATTTAATATTGAGCCTTCTTACATTAAAAAAATTGTACTTTCCTGTTATTTAATACTGATTGTACTTTTTATCAAACTAATGGATGCACACAAGTACATACTTTACTAAAAAGTTCATTTGGAAAACTGCAACCCTTGATTTTAACTTCTAGTGAATGTYTAACTTACTTTGGTCATATTTTTTTCTTCCTAGGAACTCTTTTATAGACTCTTACTCTTCTTTCTTAGACTTCTATCTTGATTTTTAAATGCAAAAACAATCTGATTTCTCTGGATTAATTATAAGGTTGTTTGTTTGTTTGTTTGTTCATTGTTAAGATATACTACTTGCTACCTGAATTGACTGTGTTCCCTTAGACTCCCCCCCCCCATGTGTTTTTCTCTTTTTCTTTTAGTTGGAAGCATTCCTCAAATGTCTGATAATATTTTGTTCTCTATACATTATTAAAAAATGAAGACTAAATACCTGGTAGCTCTGGTATATTCATAAGAGGATCCTCTGATGAGCCTCAGGGTAGAAAAAGGCAGCCAGGAAACCAGCCTTTTCACTAAAGAATTCAGAATGTATGGTAGTTTCTCCAGACTGCCTCAAATTCTTTGTGAGGGTCAGGGAGGCACACAGGGCAAGTAGAGCTGATGGTTTCCCTGTTTACTGTGACCATTATYCCCCGCTTTCCTCTGGGTCTGGTATCTTGAACAGAGCACCTCAGAAAGGGGTCATCTGACTGTGCACATTGGGGGTAGAGAAGGGCTGAGGTATCCAACAGCTCTACTGTATATCCTTTATCTCTCATCTCCACTGCTCTCCCGCTGGACTCCATATACATTTCCCTAAATAACCTAGTACCTCTAAGTTAAGCCTGTTAACTGCTTTCCTTCTGTACAGTCTCCTAGAAATCTGTAACTTTACCTGTTATTGCTTCTTCTCTTGCTCTTTGTTGTTGGGTTTTTTTTAAATAATATCTCTTTTCTTTACTGGAGGAATAAAAGTTTTAGAGGAGTGAAATTACAGAGATGAGTTGTTCATGTAGAACAGGAGTCTACTTTTTTGTAAAAGACCAGTTAGCAAATATTTTAGGCTTTGGAGATCTCACAGTCTTGCAGCTACTCAACTCTGTAGCACCAATATTGCAATGGACAGTATATTTCATGAATGAGCTTGGACAACCCCTGTTATAAACATTTATGTTTATTTAAATAGAAGTATAGCATTCTAATGTTTTTATGTAGTTTCACCTTATTTTTATTGTTAGAAAATACATAGTTGATGACTGTATTTTTATCCCCCTTCCAACATTATTAACAATATTTCACAATTACCTCTCWAAAGACAACTAGTATTCATATTTTATCTGTCATTCCAGTGATAGTTTGTAAGTATTCAAATAATCATTGAGGAATATACATTTGAAAGAGTAACATAAGTCCATTTTTTAAAAATGAAATCTTTCAGCACGTTTTTATTGAAAAAGTCTCATAACTAGAAAGTGCCACTAATTTTTATGTTATCTACCATAAGTTAAAAATAAACATTTTCATGAATAAATATTTAAAATAGAAGTTCAGAAAAAAGTAAATTAGTAAAACATTTCAATTTAGGTTTCCAGTCCTTGCTGGTTGCAGAACATATTTACTGAAATGAGAAAATAAGTTTTTGAAAAATTTATAAATTGATGCAATAACATTGTGGTCAACAAAGCTTCAATTGTTTCACTTACCATTTTTGTGGGAGGGAGGGGGTGTGTGGTTTGGGTCATGGTGGTRGTGGTGCTGCTGCTGCTGGGATTGAACCCAGGACCTTATGCATGCGAGGCAAGCATTCTACCAACTGAGCTATATCCCCAGCCCACTTAATATTGAAAATGCAAAKTTCATAGTTTAATTTATAGTTTCTAGGATCTTAGGATCTTAGTGGCTTTATGGAACTGTTTCTTATAATATTGAGAACAAGGCAGAAAGTCTCCACTCATGATTTCTTTGTAATATCTATTTGAAGGCTAAACCAGAGCAATTAACACAAGAAAAAGAAATCATAGGCATGCTATCTGAATATGCTATCTGAACAGAAAAAATAAAACTCTACTGGGCACAGTGGCTCATGCCTGTAATCCCAGCAGCTGGGGAGGCTGATACAGGAGGATCACAAGTTCAAAGCCAGCCTCAGCAAAAGCAAGGCACTAAGCAACTCAGTGAGACCCTGTCTCTAAGTAAAATACAAAATAGTTCTGGGGTTGCGACTCAGTGGGCAAGTGTCTCTCAGTTGTTTGATCCCCAGGACCAAAAATAAAATAAAATGAAATTGTGTATGTTCATAGGCAATCTAATTGTTTATGTAAAAAATTCCAAACAATCTACAAAAATGGGTTTAGGGGTTGGGGGTGTGGCTTAATGATAGAGTGCTTGCATAGCAAGTACAGAGCCCTTGATTTGATCCCTAGCACTGAAAAATAAAAAATGTGTTTAGCAAGATCTCAAGATATAAAGTCAATGTACAAAATTAATGTATTTCTAAATAGTACTAACAACTRTAAATCAAAACATACTTATTTTCCCTGTTTACAAAAATAGTAGCATATTACATATGCCCATTTTTTTTGGCTTTGCTATTTTTACTTAACAATGTAGCTTGGAAATTATTCCCAAATCTTTACATGAAGAATTGGTCATTCATTTTAATAACTGTACATTAATTCCTAGAGTACCATAATTTATTATCCAGTCCACTATTGATGGATATTTAGGTAGTTTTCAGCTTTTTTGCTATTTAGAAGTAGAGCTGGTGTTAAATTCAAAGGAAAAATCAAAGCTCTTTTTCTTCTTAACATTTTAACAGTATATATGATTTTGGCCTGACAGATAATATGTCACTTGAGAAATTTATAATGTGTTAAAACCTTGCCCTCTTAAAATTGACATTCCATTTTTCCATCAATTGTTTTAAGCTTTTCTTCACTACACTGCCAGCATAGCTTCTTTGTTGTTGTTGTTGTTGTTGTTGTTGTTATTACCAGGGATTGAACCCAGAGGTGTTAACCACTGAGCCACATCCCAAGCCCCTTTTTGTATTTTATGTAGAGACAGGGTCTCACTGAGTTGCTGAGGGCCTAAGTTGCTGAAGCTGGCTTTGAACTTTGGATCCTCCTTCCTCAGTCACCGTAGCCCCTGGGATTTATAGGATGCACCACTGCACCAGGCCCAGCATAGCTTCTATTTTTGGTCTTTCCCATGATGAAAGTTACCGTTTTCTTCCTATAGTGTGAAGATTGCTCCCGGAGCAGTTGTATGTGTAGAAAGTGAAATCAGAGGAGATGTTACTATAGGTAAGAAAATGGTTTATTAATGTTGTTTCTTAAGAATTGATGTATTAATCTATTTTAGTGCTTTACTACCTTCTATGTCTGTTTTATTAGTATCCTAATTGTATTGACAAAACAATGTGTTTTCTCATATGTATAATATTTTGAAAAGAATATAATATGGTAGAGGCCATGTTTAAATTTCTAGCTGAAATACTAATAAGACAGTGTTTATTTATTCATGTATTTGAGACATAGAAGTTGTGTACCCATGATGTATGTGCCAAGCACTGTTGGCACTAGGGAAARAGCAGTGAACATAACAGAGAAAAGTCCTGCCTCTGTGGAATTTGCATTCTAGAGTGATTTATTAAGAACATGCACCATGGAGTCCACAAATCTGTTAGCTTGCTCTGTACTCCTTACCTGCTAGGTTATTTCAGACATGTTACTTAACCTTACTAACTTTCATTTTCTCATCTTTGTAATTGTGTATATCAAGACAAGGTTTACCTGCATGTAATGGTAGTTTAAGCACACAAAGATTTGTTCTTACATATAAAAAGTCTAGAAGTAAATAATTTAGGGCTGATCAATTGATTGTCCAGCGTGGAACTCTGGTCTTGCAGGTCAGGAAGTGATGTTTGACTACCAAGAATCACCTCGAATGAGAAAAGGGAGGCGTGTAAACAAAAACACATGTATTATAGGAGAGTCAGCTCCTTTTAAATAGCTCCACCTCCAAACCCATGTTATATTTTATTTTATTTTGATTCTTTTTTTTTTTTTTTTTTTTKTATTAGAATTGAACCCAGGATTTTGTATTAGAATTGAACCCAGGATTCTCTACCACTGGGCTACATCCCCAGCCCTTTTTATTTTTTTATTTTGAGACAGGATCTTGCTGAGTTGCCAAGGCTGTCCCCAAATTTGCAATCCTCCTGTCTCTGCCCTCCAAGTAGCTGGGATTACAGGCATGTGCCATCACATCTGCCTCCAAATTTTTAAAACAAGAAAATTTACTCAAATATTTCACAGAAACAAATCAGTTTTTTAAATTAAAGAAAAAGTTCAGAAGAGTGATATAATTACACAATGTTATGTCTTCCACAGTTTTTACCTCATTTTTTATACATGTTTCCTTCTTTTATTTTTCTGTACTCAAGCCTCACAATTCTTATCTCTAATGGATATTTATATATATATATATATATATATATAATTTATATGTATATATAATTCATATATATATATATATATATAATTTATATGTATATATAATTCATATATATATATGCACATGTGTTTGTATAAATATTCCAGAATTGGTATTTCTGTTACTCTTATATTTAGTATAAAATATCTCTAATTTTTGGCTGCTATTCATTTTTCTAAAAGAACATCAGATTTAAAAACCTCCTGTGAGATATAATTATGAAGTTAAATCCAGGCAGAGAGTAAAGATAAGTCATCTGGTTACAGCTCTCCCCAGCAGTCTAGTTATTTTAGAACTTTTATTGTTTTTGTGTTTTGACTTACTAGAATAACTGATTTAAGTCTTTTTCTTATGTCTTATGTGCTTATAGAATTGGAGACCTGAGTACTTAATGAACCCTATTTTCTGGGTTAAGTACCAGTAAACTCAAATGCAGTTTGAAGATTTTTCAAGATGTTTTTGTGCCACTTTCCATTTTCTAGTCATTTAAACTTTTACAAACTATTCCATTCTTCAATATTTCAGAAAGAAAGTAATTTTTTTTCTTTTGGTATGATTCAGTGGAATGTTAAACCTGATCTGTTTTCCAAGAAAATCAGGTAATTTCGTTTATCAGAGAAATTAGTCAGAAGCTTGAAATTACAGTTCTTATCCAGGAGCCTTTGACTTGAATCTCTGCTGATACCTCACCCCCTCACTAGGGGCTGCTCAGAAATAGACCTGGGGAAAAATAACAGCTCTCCTGATTATTATAACTTGGATAAAGTTTCATAGCATCAGGCCTGTTTTTAATTAAGCTGCCTTGATTCATGCAGCATGAATTATTTCCTGAAAATCTTCATTTTGAGAGCTGAAGAATATTTCAGAAAGGTACCTCCAAGCACAGTCCTCTAGTCCATTAGAGGGCTAGGGGCACACTATTGGTGTTAGGCCAGGGCTTGGTTGGGACATTATAATATGAAGGCAGAACTCTTTGTRATGGAATACTTTGTCCCACTTAATTCATTCTCWMCAGCAGAGTTTTAATAMTAATCAAAAACCTCCTTTTTATTGTAAGAGTCTTTTTCAGTATGGCTGAATTGTGGCTTTGACTTGAGAAATCATTGCTTATAAAGGAGCTCAGATGGGTACTTCAGCTTATAGGTCAAGGGAGTTGTTTAATTTTCTGAAGAGAGAGCTTGGGGCTTTTTAAATTATTTATTGACATAGGAAAACATTTACAGAGATTGCTTTCTGTARCAAAGGTAGACAGGAAAAGTGCCCCTTACCAAATGAGGGAAATGGAAATGTGATGCAAGGAATGCTTTTCTGGCTGTGTTGCCTCAAGTCCAGCCAACCATTTAGAAAAATAATGCATCCACCAGTTAAGGCAGCTCCAACTCGAGACACATTTATCCAAACAAGGAGATAAGCCAAATAGGATTTCAGCACATTCAGTAAGAAAATACACTAATTTCCCTGCCAGAAAGAGTTCCAAGAAGGTTCACAACAGACTTAAAAGGAAAAACTTTCAATGATGACAAATTTTTATTTTTAAAACATTTTAACCTTAAGACCTTTAAATTTGGTTTGAATTCAGACCCATTCTAGTTAAAAGTTCTCATGGTATTCAGGAAAGAGTGGAGTAAACTATATCTGCATAATTGTGTTTGTATTACTGAGCTCTCTGCTGCCCAATGTGCTGCACAGAACCTTACAGAGACAAAGGTGGATTGTCCACATCATTCATTGAAGCTACAGACTCCTTGAAGAAGTCTGTCTAACCAAAATCTTAGCAATCACATATTCTGAAGTACATGTATTCAAATCTTTCTAGTCTTTGCCCAAAAGGACCTACAAGAGGGTTTAGGGGAACTGTCCAATTTATTACTGCCAATCTCATTTGCTGTCACCTCACAAAGTTAATAGTTTCACCTCTTAATCCATTTTTGTCCCATCATCTCAGATGTGGAACACCTATAAAAACTTAAATTGAACAAGAAATATATCATTTGTGGAAACTAAATAATTAATTTAATTTAACTAATTGAAAACTTAGGGATTAATGGGCAGTTCTTGCAACCCTTGMACATTGGGACCTGTAGTTTGGCCATGCTGCCAGCAGGAGGCAGTGGGGTCTAAGTCATGGGTCACCTGTGTTGCTGCTATGCAACACGGGCCCTCAGATTTATAACCAAGAGTTTTCCAGTTACCTATTACAAAACTTAATAATAATAAAAATAATAAAATATCTGATTAAAATGACAGCTTTGTTTTAAAGTATTGTACAAGCCATCTTATGGGGCTGGAGGTGTAGTTCAATAGAAAGTTTTCCTAGCATGCTCCAGACTCTGGGTTCAGTCCCTACTACTACAAAAGAAAAAGGCATATTCTGGGATTTGTCTCATTTTTTTTTTTTAATTTGTGCTTATTTTTTTGGACTTTTTAATATAATGAGCATGTATTTCATAATTTTTGAAAAAGAAAAATTTAAATGTCAATTGTTTTCAGGGGTGCCCTTTAGGCCAGGTGCAGTGGCACACACACCTGTAATCCCAGCTGCTGGGGAGGCTGAAACAGGAGGATCACAAGTTCAAAGCCAACCTCAGCAACAGTGAAGAGCTAAGCAACTCATTCCCTGTCTCTAAATAAAATACAAAATAGGTGTGCCCCTGAGTTCAATCCCTGATACCTCCCCCCTAAAAAAAACAAAAACTGCACTTTATAGGAACTTCTAAAGACACACACAAGTCTTAGTGATACCTATGGCTTATTAATCTATCCAGAGGTAGCTCCTTACAAGTGGTGCTTGTCAAAAGCTATAGTTTCAGAGCCATCAAAATGTCTAGTGCCTCTGACTACTTATTTAGCAAGGGCAAAAGATTTGCTTTCTGTCATAGCCATGGTGATCTCTGCCTCGTGTCTAAGATCTTTAAAACTGCTTATAGAAAACATTCTTATTATAAATTTTTTTTCATCCTATAATAAGGTACGGAATTTCACCCCTTGATTAAAAGTAAGTATACCTTGATACCTTAATAGAAGAGGAAAGCAGACACTTCTGTTTCTTGGACCTGAATTTAATTTAAAAAAAAWTTTTTTGAAAAGTCACTCGTTAGCTCTCACAAGCCACAAATAGCAAGGAACTTCTCATTTTTAACAACTATGTGTCAGAACCTATGAGCTCCTTTTAAAACATTTTTTTTCATACAATTCACATTGCAACCCAATGAGGTAGGATGTCATCCTTTTTATAGATGAGAAGGGTGACCTTTGAGAGAGGAAGCACATAGCCTTTAAGTGATAGAATCTGGAGTTCAGATTTTCTAGAAAGGGTAGGGTACTGGCTGTGGCTTTAATTACAAAGAACCTAAAATAGGTTCCTTTTAATATGAAACATTTTGAAATAAAATATAAATCTAGTATTGTGCAAACTGCAACTTTTAATTGGCTCATATATCTGGAAGACTTAGGAATATCTCCTTTCAAAGGAATTCAGTATTTGTGTCAGCATTATTTAGCATCTTTCCTTCAAAGGTTTATAACCTCTTAGTGTCCATTATTAAGGAGTCAGTTAAGTAAATTGTGGCATATTAATATAATGTGAGATACCTTATACCCAGTAAAAAGAATATCTACCTAGATATGTTTACATGAAAAAAAATTATCATTTAGAGAAGAATGCACTTGTAATACATAGTTTTTCTACAAGTTGCATTTATTTTTGAATTTTTGAATGATATAGCTTATATATAGCGGTACTTACAGATCTGAAGTATATAGCAGTATTTATTATGAAATAATATAACCCAATTTTTTTAAGAATTGTTGCCTCTAGGAAATCAAATAAGTGTGACAGAACCTTTCACTTTTTGCATTATTTTGAATTTTTGGCAATGATAATCTATTTCTTCTATAGATAAATAAGGGGATCAGATATCATAAAGATATAGGGAAGATCAGTGGAGTGGACATAAAAGAATGGGAGGGAGAAAGAGAAATGGGAAGATAAATGAATTTAACAAATCATGTGATATTCATATGTAAAGATAACAGGGAATTTCACTTTTACATGTATGTAGAAGAAAGGAAGTTTAATAGAGTAGAGGAGGGAGACTGGAGGAATTAGGAGAGAAGGAAAAGAGAGAGGATGGGACTCAAAATCAGATTCCTTATATTTATGAYTTTTGTCAAAATGAACCCAATTACTATGTATAATTATGATGCTCTAATAAAAAAGAGGGGAATAAAAAGATTTGCAGAAATATGAAGCAATATCACTCTTCTTGGTTTTTTGTTTGTTTGTTTTGGAAAATAGTTATATTTATTAAAATATATGTGAAAAAATAAGTACGTGTCTAGATTGTATCTGTGCACTTATGTCGGGGGAGCTATATTTATAAGAGAAGAAAAGCACAGAGGTTCACACTCATGATCAACTTGAGAAACTTCCCAGGGATCACATCTTCTATCCTGAGAAGGAGAATTTGACTGGGAATTTTATACTTAACTGTTGAAAATTTGGGGACAGAGAAATATCAAGGCCACTCTTATGCTTTCTTACCAGACAGTGCATCTTGGGACATGCATCCTGTCTTGGCCCCCACCCACTGTATCAATCCCTGCAGTTCTTCATTGTCAGGAAAAAAAATAAGCTGCACTGAGACTCCCTCCCATTCCCTGGGTACCAAGAACACATCCTTATTTGGTTTAATACATTTGTAAGTGTGCTAAGCATTCCCAGTTTTCAAGATAACAAGTTCAAGGGGGCAAAAATAGTGTATGTTCATTTATTTATTTATTTATTTATTTATTTATTTATTTATTTATTTGGTGCTGGGGATCCAAACCCAGGGCCTCATACATGCCAAGCATAGACTCTACCACTGGCCTATACACCCACTCCAGCACGTGTTCATTTGTGTTTCCCTATACTGTATAGTGCTGCATCTTACCTACCACAAACAGATAATGATTTTTTTTTTTAATTAACAATTAATACTAGATTTTCTGGACAAGGTCACCTTCCTGACCCCCTTTCCACYCTCTGTGGATCCTCTGTCCACCCTTCCTTACTTTCAGAGTTAGTCACTCCTTATCCAGTTGTTTACCCATTGAAGTAGTCTTGATATTGAGGGATGAGTAAGGTGTGTGTTGGAGATAGAAGGATATGTTTTCTTATCAGTAGTTTGATTATCACCAGAACATGAGGCCTGTGGGTAGATAAAAGCCAAGAAAGGAGAGTGTGCTAGCATTCCAGAATCAGGGTCCCTTGTTAGGAGTGCAATATCTCCATTGTCCTGCTCTTGAAGTGTACGTGATAAGGCCCCTCCTTGTTCCCCTAGATTTGAGGTTGGAGGCATCTCTTCAGGTCTCCATGCACCAGAGTCTTAGGACCTCAGCGTTTATCTTTGGTTCCTTTTCTCTCCTTTCACCTTTTCTACTTTAACCAGTCAAAATCATATCCAAGATCAGACAACAGAAGCTCTGCCTCCTTCTAGTGGATATGCTTGCATTAAGGATAACARGCTAAGATTACATCCCATATATTTTTGACTACTGTCCACTTATATTTTCCTCTTAATCTTGTAGTAAGTAATAAGAGGAATCCTGTGGAGCACTAGCACAAGAAAGTACCACATCATAAGCAGAGAGCCTCACCTTTTTGAGAGAAAGAAAGAAAGGAAATTACTTAAAAAAAAAAAAAACACCCAAACAGTCTTTTTTTTTTTTCAAATGTTTTTTAGCTGGCAACAGACATGATACCTTTATTTATTTGCTTTTACTTGCTGCTGGGGATCAAACCCAATGCCTCAGATATGCAAGACAAATGCTCTACCAACTGACCTAATAACCCAACTCAGAAATTACTTTTTATTGCCACCTATGTGGCACATACCTTGTCTCCACCATCATCTCACCTAACCCATACAATAACCCTGCAAGATTGCCGTCTGTTCCTGGCTAAGATCACAGATGCTTCAAAATGGAGGTTGAGCCAAAACTGTCTGGCTTTCATGCCTGTACTCTCACTCACCTTGACTTGAGATCTGGCACTAACTACTAATAACAGGACATATTATTTGTAAAGTACATAGCCTGTTCCCAATAGCCTTACCCACCCTTGGTCACGTCCCACCCCGCTATTGGAAGCATGATCTCCACTGATAATTTCTTCTCAAATGATTTTTTGACAGGACCAAGGACGGTGATTCACCCCAAAGCACGAATTATTGCTGAAGCTGGGCCAATAGTGATTGGTGAAGGTAACCTGATAGAAGAACAGGCCCTCATCATAAATGYGTAAGACTTACAGATACTGTGAATTAAGCAGCACCTGTAACAGTTTTCATCAATATAAGTTTTGGGGGTTAGGCTGTAGCTCACTCCTCACAGAGCACTGGCCTAACACGCTGGGTTCAATCCCCAGCACTGAAAAAAAAAAAAAATCAAAAATTATACCTGACATTTGGAATGCCCACTGTTTTAGAGCTGGAGAAACATGAAGGATCTATTTCAACACAAGTAAATGTGGAACCCAAAAACCAAGTAGAGGAAAAGATTTGCCCAGGGTGAGAGCTTACTGATTGATGGCTGACTAGAATCTCCACCTCTGGATCCAGTGACCTTCCCCTTCTGTATCATCTTGTCATCCTTCTCTTAAGCAAACACTTCCTGAGCACCTCCAACCTCCAGGTGCTATGAAGAGTTTTGGTTGGATTTCCTGGTTCTGATTGAAATATTACTCATGCCCAAAAAATTTTGAGCTTAAATCAACTGTATGTTTTCCCATGTTCTGCACAATAATACCAAGAGTTATAGGTGAAAAATTTGTGATCCTAGAGGCAATTTTTAAACTTTAAAGATAAAAAAATAATAAAATATTAGAACATGTATGTGATCTTCAGTGAACTAATTCATGAAATTTTCATAAGCATTTATAAGTCTTTCTAGATAAAATGTTGGCAAGAAAATTTGGCTTATACCTAATTTATAGCAACAATGTATGGAATTTGTAAGAAAGACCTTGGGAAAATATTTAACTGTGATAAAAAGATTGATTTGTCTGAATGCTTTAGGATTTGGGAGTCTCAGTATATTAAGCAATTTCTCTTTAAAAAACATTTGGCACCTTCAGTGTAAGTCAGTTAACAAAAGCAATATTCTGCAATTACTCAACTGTCAGAGATAAACACCATTTTAAAACAGTTTCCTCCTCTCTAAGAGTACAAGCGTTTGTCTTCAAATATTTCAACTAATATCATAAAATAATTATTTTATGTGCATATCTGTTTATATTTTACAATCTTGAATGATTAATAAGAATGGAAAAGTTTCAGGTTAGGTATGATCTAACTTAACAGGCTAAAAGTAGAGTCAGTCTCCTCTGAATTCTGAGTTTAAGAAATAAAGGAAGGCTGTCCCTTACTATATACATTTCTGATCAACTAAAAAATCAAGCTTCTTTAACATAAAGAAGAAATGATTCACTTGGACCAAGAAATAACTGATACAGTGGTATAGTTTAAGCTTGATGCAAGTAAAATTGAGAGAATTAACCCAAACTCTTTTTTTTAATATTTATWTTTTAGTTTTAGGTGGACATAATATCTTTATTTTATTTTTTTATGTGGTAATGAGGATCRAACCTAGCAGCCCGTGCATGCCAGGCSAGTGCGCTTGAGCACATCCCCAGCCCTTAACCCAAACTCTTAAAGGAAAGGGAAACAGCTTATTGTGTTACTGGTTTTTTTGTTTTGTTTTGTTTTATCATTTATCTCTTCTTTTCATAGTCATCCAGATAATATCACTCCTGACACTGAAGATCCAGAACCCAAAACTATGACCATTGGCACCAACAATGTGTTTGAAGTTGGCTGTTGTATCCTTTACTATTCTGCCATAAATCATTCCCAGATGTCCTATGGTCACCAGATCTCCCCCTGTAGAAATTATCAGGATTTATCTATCAAATATATTTATAATATAAACTATAATGACATTTTTAAGAGTACATTGTCTTGCTTTTTGTACAGACGTATTTGCAGTATATTAAAAAATCTTTTCTGGGGTTGGGGTTGTCTATAGCTCAGTGGTAGAGTACATGCCTAGCTTGTGTGAGGTTTGATTCTCAGCACTGCAAGAAAAAAGAAAAATATATATTTCCTGATCTGTTGACTAATTCGTAGAATAAATATCACATACCATTTTCGGACACACAAGCATACATCTTTAGCTCAGCATTTTGAAAGTCCTTTTGCTGGAACTATAACTTATTGTCAAGTAGCAATGACTGAATGGCAGTGGACACAGAAATAGTAATTCTGGCTTCTGTCTTGATATAAGAACCACACCTTTGTCAGTTTGATTTCTCTATTATTTTAAATAGACAATATGTTGTCTGATTCAAAAATATGGTGGGCAGGGGTGAAAATATTTTATTCTATATATATTGTTTCTTTTCTCCCAGGGTGTCACCAGTTCTTTTGCTTTGTCTTATACTCTGAAAAAATAGTAAAACTTTTCCATGGTGTCAGCAAAACGTAAAACACTGTCTACTGTATTTCAGTGACTGGGTAATGGATAGTTTTGCTTTTCTTAAAAGAATGTGAAAATATATAAAATCAAGGTTATGTTACTCTTTTWAAAAAAAAGGATTCATTTATTTATACCTCGAGATACTTATACTTAAGGATTAAAACTTTATTATAGGGCTGGGGTTGTGGCTCAGTGACAGAATGCTTGCCTGGCACATTTGAGGCACTGAGTTTGATCCTCAGCACCACATAAAAATAAATAAAATAAAGGTATTGTGTCTGTCTACATCTAAAAAATATTTTTAAAAAAACTTTATTACAGGTTTCCCTGAGCAAAGATTTTTGACAAGGGAAAGCCTGCAAAGTCTTTCCCATGTCTCTGTGCTCCAGTGTAATGTAAAGACATACTGTGTAAAACGGGTGGGGGGGCGCGAGTGAACTTATTTATAGTATTTACTTAACTGGGCTCACAGATTCCCAAGCCATGAAAATGGGGGATAACAATGTCATTGAATCAAAAGGTAAGCTATGTTCAGAGTTTTATTACTTACTTTCTTTTTGTCATGTCCTGGGAAACAACCAGAGTTCAAACTATGACAAGGTGGTATGCTTAGAATTGGACTTAAGTCATTRTCAAACTAATTATTTGCCTCAAAAGAACCTAATCTAATTATGTAGTTATTTGATAATGTGGTTAAATACATTAAAATTAAAAGGCTGGTGTGTATTTTTAAGTTGTGATTGGATTAAATCGTAAAGTTCCATTGAAAGATTTGAAAAAAAATTCTATTAAATCCTAGTGTAGTGATATTTTAGTTGATTAGTGTAGTCATAGAAAAAAATCAGTTAGTTACTCAAGCAGGTTTGTTTCTTTTATTTTAGAACTACTTTTCCCCCAGCCAATCAGAAACAAATATCTACTCTCCAAAATTGGGTCAAGTCACCAGAACTGCTGGGAACCAGCTCCAAGAGCTTATCCCACTAAAGTGCAGAAAGAACCTGAAAAGTGACACTTCTTTAAGAACAGTGGTTTGTTGGTCCTCAAAGGCATGGGGGAAAAAATGCTTCTTTTTTTAAATCAGATCATACTTTTTTGTTAACCTACTTAATGATCATAATTTTAATTTAGATTACCAATTATTATCATTATTGGCATTCTTTATTATAAGCTTACTATGTGTCAAACCTGTGCTTAGTACTTTTATTTTCTCATTGAACTATGTACTTTTATTTTATTGAGCTTAGTACTTTTATTTTATTGAACTTAGTACTTTTATTTTCTCATTGCAATATGAAGTGGGGTAGTCTCCACATTTTATAGATAAACTTGAGTTCAAAGACCAGTGACATGCCCAAGGCCACAAAAATAGTCAGCAGCAGAGTTCTGTTTTAAATGCTTTGCACTGCCTTCCCCTGTGCTATCTATGCAAACTCTGAACTGATGCATTTTCTTTAGTTTTTGTTGTTGTTTTTTTCTTAAGGCCTGTTTGCATTTTTATACCTAAATCTCAGAGAAAAAAAGAGTTGTAAACACAACAAAAAGTGTTATAATTATATGATGTCCTAAGTTGCAATTTTTTTCTGTTTTTGCTGCAGCATATGTAGGCAGAAATGTAATATTGACAAGTGGTTGCATCATTGGGGCTTGCTGCAACCTAAATACTTTTGAAGTCATCCCTGAGAATACAGTGATCTATGGTGCAGACTGCCTTCGTCGGGTGCAAACTGAGCGACCACAGGTACTAGAACAATCTCTCTTTWAAAAAGAATTCATTCTAGGACTGTTAACCCTCCCCAACACCAGCTAATTGTCTTCACGGACAACAAGTTCATTTAAAAAGCAAATGATTAGGAGCTCAGTTGGTTGAGTGCATACTTAACACGAATGAGGCCCTGGATTTTATCCCAACCAAAAAAAAAAAAAAAAAGCAAATAAATACAATAAAATATCAGAGAAACATTYCTAAGAAACTTGGATTAATTTGCAGCTCAGTCATTGAGTATTTAGGTAACTGTCCTGTGTTTGTGTGTGTATTTGATATACAAATGACAATGACAAGTTGATTATGAGGAAAAAGAAAATCCAGATTGCTATTCCTGGTCTTAGCATTTTCACTGAAGATACATCATCAAACYTCACAGACCATATTGATTCAATCCTAAAATATCAATCTTCAAGGCCCTACCAAAGGAATGGCCCTACCAAATTAACGTGKATCTGTTTATGAGTTTATTAGCATAATACAGCTTGATTATAAAAACAGCTTATGAATAAGCAAGTGTGTTTGTATATTTTCTTAATAAACCAGGAAAGAATAATGAGCAATGTATATTTGGASCTTAATGTTAGAATAAACAATAAAAAATATAAGACATCTGGGACTTCCTTTGAATATAAAACATTAGATTGAAGTTTTGAGCATCATTGTTTGACATACTCAATATATATTCCTTTAATTACCTARTCTCCTTTTCCTGCCTGCAAAGAAATATTTTCAAGACATTTATTGCTTTGCCTCTGCTTCTTAGACATATTTTATCAAATATTAAAACTCTTAATTCTTACTCTATTTTTGTAATGTTTGGCATTATTATTATTACAAGTAACTGCTATTATAAACTAAAAAGAAAAAATCAGTAATTTCTTATTTCTATGTAAAAACAAGAATGATTAAAGACAGAAATGAAGCAGGAGTTGGAAAAAGGAAATTAGAATTAAGTAAGCAAGATTCTGTAGCTTAATTTTTAATGTTGTATGACACTGTTTTCCAAATTTCACTGATCATAAGAATTATATAGAGGTCTTTAATAAAAACAGAGATTCTATCTAGGCGCAGACCTAAAAAAAATCCATATTTTTCACAAGTACCCCAAGTGAGTTTTACATTCAGTTTGGGCACTGCTGGCATTTGAATAGTAAAGATTGATGACTGTGTCTCATCTGTGTAGAAAGCAATATACTCTTGAGTATTTTACAAGGGTGGTTTTCTGTAATTAACACTCTTTTGCTTTTCAGAAGCCAGGATATAATCTACAAAACCAATTTGGAAACGTATTTCTGTATATTTTTATATATAAAATCTTTTGCCTTTTTCTTGTTACCAATCAATATTTTTTTATTGTCAGTAGACTTTATTTATTTATATGTGGTGCTGAAAATCAAACCCAGTGCCTCACACATGCTAGGCAAGCACTCTACTACTGAGCCACAACCCCAGCCCAAATTTTTTTTTTTGAGAGAGAGAATTTTTTTAATATTTATTTTTTAGTTTTCAGTGGACACAACATCTTTATTTTATTTTTATGTGGTGCTGAGGATCGAACCCAGCGCCCTGCACATGCCAGGCAAGCACGCTACCGCTTGATCCACATCCCCAGACCCCAATATATTTTTATTATATATTTTAAAAACACAAACAGGTAAGAAATAAGTCAATGAAAATTACCTATCATTCTTTGACCTAATAGGAATCATTTCTACCTAATATTCTTGACTCTGCTTTCTACCAATCTTAATTATCTTATCTTTTTAGCCCCAGACTCTACAACTGGATTTCTTAATGAAAATCTTGCCAAATTATCACCACCTAAAGAAGACTATGAAAGGAACCTCAACTCCAGTTAAGAACTGAGAACAGGATATATCAAGATAACGTTCCCACTTTGACTACTCTCTTTCAAAAGGGCCACAGTGTTTGTACATTCTTAGCAGCTCACAGAATAATGTGTGTTGACTTTATTTGATAAAACAGAGAGAGGAAATTAGTGGATTTCCATTGTAACTGTCCTTTATAATTTATATAAAAATGTATTATTTTCCTATACCTATGCTCTTTTCTGATAATTTACAGATTCATTTTTTCTTTTGTTATATAAAATGTTAGGCACAAATTAATTATGTAAAAGACTACCTATGATAAGAAATGGCATGAGGTTATGTATTATATTCTAGCATATGCTAAACTAAATAAAACTGCTGATGACAGAATTTTTAGTAAGTCTGCTTCAATCAGTTTGGCTTGCATTAATCTTCCCAAAGTAACTATCTTAATTTTTATGATGCACTAAAGCTAATGTGTTTACTTACTTTTCCTCTTATGGATTTGTAGCTGTTTAAAGTTTCAGATGAAATACCAGCAGCTATTGAATTAGTTTAAACTTCACCTTATTTTTAAGAAATTTTTTTTTCTTTTCAGCAAAACAAAGTAATCAGGGAAAGATGTCTTTAGGGGCTGGGGCTGTTGAGACTCTGGGTTCAATCCTCAGCACCACATATAAATAAATAAAGGTCTTTTTTAAAAAGAAAGAATATAAATTCAGAAAGAATCCTAAGATGACAAGTAAAAGACTACTTAGTGATATTCCTGGGTTTCTGAGGACAATAAAACTAAAAGATTTTGAAATTTTTATAAATTTATGAAATTATTTTGACATAGTAATAATCATTAGTTATTTAATTTGTTGTAGCTTAATTACACAGTAGACAAAATTTTGAGAATTTCATTGTAAATGCATATTTTGGTTTTGTTTTGTTTTGTTTTGTTTTGTTTCTGATGCTGGGGATTGAACTCAGGGCCTCCTGTTGCTAAGCATGTACTCTGTCATGGAGCCACACTCCCAGCCCCTTAAGGGTGGTTTTCTGTAATTAACACTCTTGCTTTTCAGAAGCCAGCATATAATCTGCAAAACCAATTTAGAAACATATTTCTGTATATTTTTATGTATAAAATTTTTTGCCTTTTTCCTGTTACCAATCAATATTCTTTAATATTTTTTAATAATCCAAGAATATACATTTAATAGAATACACTTTTTACCTTTTGAATCAGTAGAGGAAAAAAAGATAATACTAAGATAAAAAGACTTAAAATTTTGTTCTCAAAATTTAATTGTAGTTATGGATAGGGAAAACTGTTTTTAAATTTCTGAAACTAATAGTACAAATTAGCCTAATTGTTCCTAATATGAATGATTTGATTTTGGAAAGAATAGTCACAACTCAAGTTGGAGAACCATATTGTAGTAAACTGAACATAGAGCTTTTGAAAAAAGGAGAACATTGCATAAATGCGCAATTTTTTATAACTACCATTTACTTCTCAACCTCTGATAAAATTACAAAACTGTCTTTGAAATTGTATGGTGGTTTTAAACTGTTCTCTGAACAAGCTGTGATAAACTGCTTGAATGGCCTCTCCAAACTACTGCTAGTATGTGGGGGCAACAATGAGACACCCTAAGGACTTGGTACAAAGAACCCCCAGACTGATAGACTTCCTGAATCACCATGTAGGGTTAGGCGTGGCACTCAGTGGTAGAGCACTGGCCCAGCATGTACAAGGCCTGAKTTTGATCCCAACACTGAAAAAAAAACAGTGATAAGAGCCTGGTGCTTAAACGATCTGAAGATTACAGCTTAAATTTCAACTGCTTACTCTGAACACTGATGCATAGTTTTCTTAAGTACATTGTGCAAATTATTTAATATTGCAACCTTAAAAAAAAAAGTGCCTCAGTGTTTACCAGGTACTCTGTTAGCTGTTAAGGAATGTTAACTCATTTGAGGAAGGAAAATATAAACAGAAATAGTGGACTTACCAAAACAGATTTTGGAGAAACAAAATATGACAGAATGCACTGCTATTCATTGAAGAGGAGGTCCTGAATCTAGGAGAGGTGACAATTTAGTGACCAAAAATTCTGTTGATGCAGGACCAGTTTATCAATTCCCACTGTGACTTGTGAATAACACAAATTTTGACTCTAATTGCAAGCTTCGCTGAACAGCCTTCTAATTGTAAATATAGCCTTCAGATCATTCTCATTCAGAAAAAGAAGGAACTCTAGATGAGGGCACCCAAATTCCATTCTGCACATAGGAAATTTAGATTTAGAGGATTTCTGATTTGTATTCATGTGAATTTAGTTTGTATGGGTTTTTAATTCTTTTAATCAAGTAGATGATACTCTCCCTATTTTTCAGCTGTGGAAATTGAAGCCTAGAGAGGGTAAGGATAATTATCTGTCCAAGGTGACTCAGCTCATAAGTGGCATTTGGACTCCAAAGTTCATGATCTGAACCATATTCTATGTTGCCTTGTTGGAAGATTTTTTTAAACCTTTCAAGATAGAGCTTTCAAATACTAATTAAGATAACAGATATGGATTTACCTTTTTTCAAGTCTTCACAATCTTTAAATTCTTAATCTGCATAAGACAAAAGAATAGGAAATTTTTTTAAAAAAAAGAATAACTTAATCTACTGAATTCAATTAAAACATACCCAAACAGGGATCCCAACCTCAGGCCCCAGGTCATTCTGTCCAAAGCTATAAACTGTGTCTGTTTATCATTACTAATTATCTATGGTGGTAATTTGCAGTAGTGTCTTGTTTTTCACTGGTAAAAGTGATTCAATTTCATTTTACACAACTCAGAAGATGGGGAAAAAACACTTCTAATTTCATGTTTCACYCTCAAACATCACCACTTTTATCATTTTGGGGACTAACTCTTAGCATGCAATCTGCCATTAAATTAAAGAAGGTAAATGAAGATTTCTTTCCCATGCTTTTGTTTTAAAGCTCCATAATTCCTACTGCAGACCTGAAGCTTTACCACAAGAGGGCACCAATGCACAGCATGGTTCTCCTACCACTGGCTAGCAAACACTGTGCTATTAGAGACTTATTACCCTTAGTAATCTGACCCATTTTTAGGAACACTTTAGACTTTAATACTTTACTAAACATAAACTAGAAACAGCTTTACTCCAGCCTCCTTCAAAGGTTGATATATTTAAATATTTTAGAGCAATCGCTGAGTCTAGGCTTGCAACACTAAATACACTCAGAGAGGTGCAAGAATTTTGACCTCCCACAGAGAAGCATGATTAGTCCCACTGAGACTAGCAAAGAATGGTTTGGTCAAATCTTTCTCATTAGCATTCCTCTCATTAGGATTTCAGCAAAACTTCTTCCTTTCCTAWGAGTCTGAGTGGTGCAAAATCCCTGAATTTAGATTTTCCACATCTTAAACCAGCTCAATATTCCTTTCTTACCTGTATGGYTCAGACCTTTGAACCAGTCTCTGCTCCGTGTGAAAAATACTGCCAGATGCTCAAGCCCACCTCATTTTCACAACTAGTCAGTAACCTATACCTTGGTGGGTCAATCACATCTCTCCCTGCATTGTTTGCTTTCCAAAAGTTAATTTTATTTGTTCCCAACTTTGTTTATGCAATTTGTAGTTAGTAATTACATAATTCAATTAAAAATTTAAAAATCAAAAATCAGTATGAAAAATCAAACAATTTTGAGGGTGAATAAGCTGTAACCTTTATGAAAATAAATTTAGTGTTTGGGAAAGGTCTAATAAAAGACTTTTTTAAATGCTGTGGAATTAGGGGTAGGCAAAACACTGTGAAAATTTGAATGGAGGAGAGGGGAGCACCAAAATATAGAAGGCTTTTGTTCTCATTTTGCTTCATAAATGTTTTGAGTCCTCACTCCACTGAAACTGAAATCCATAATGACTCTTGCTGTGTTAATAGATGTCTTACAAGCAATCCCATCAGCAGGCCCACATTCCACGTTTTTAGCTTGACACCAAAGGAACAATGGGTGAATGTTTTGCTGTATCTGTTTTAAATTTAAAATAAAATTTTGATGAGATATATATTATCATTTCATGAATGCCTGTTGTAGAAAGCTGACTTTTCCTTTTAACTCACTACAGATTCTGTCTGGGTAGGGAAGCAAGGCTTCTAAGGCATAGCTTCGGAATTGTCAATTGCAGGAACAGCAAAATGAATTGCCCAAGCCCTCTGTGATCTATGTATACTTTCAAAAGAACAACCTCACTTTCATGAAGAGAACATTTTAGAGTCCCTTATTGCTGAAGTAGATATGCTTGACTTTAACAGAACAGATTTTTAGAATTTAATCTTTTTTTTTTTTTTTTTTGCCATACTGGGGGTGGAACCCAGGGCCTCATATAGGCTAAACAAGTTCTCTACCACTGAACAACACCCCCAGCTTAGAACTTGATCACCTTTAACAAAATGGTTTAAAGCTGGACCCCTGTAATCCCAGCAACTCAGAAGGCTGAGGTAGGAGCATTACAAATTCAAAGCCAGCCTCAGGAAAAGCAAGGCACTAAGCAACTCAGTAAGACCCTGTCTCTAAATAAAATACAAAATAGAGCTGGGGATGTTGCTCAGTGGTTGAGTGCCCCTGAGTTCAATCCCCAGTACCAAAAAAAAAAAAAAAAATGGTTTCAAGTCTTTCAGTTTACCCCATAACTGTGCCTAAAATGTTTCCTTTTTATTAATGCAGGCTGGCACAGTTGTAGATGTTGATATATATATTGCTTAAATGATTACGCACAAAAGGGAAGATTGTGACTGAGGGTTTACCCTGTGGCCAGGAAAGCTTTGCCATGGTCTTCCATATCCTTTGTAATCAGAAGAACGGCCCACACTTGATCCCAGATGGCATTCTTTACATTTAAACTTTATCATAATGTAGCAAAAAGAACAGAAAGCTCTTTACTAAATTATAAGCAAGTTATTAGATTTAGGGATGGAAGAGCACTTGCCTAGCATGTGCAAGGCCCCAGGTTCAATCTCAAGCACCATAGATAGATAGATAGGACAGATAGACAGACAGACAGATAAATAAAATCTGCTTTTGCCACATGGCAAAACCAAGTGCATCTTAGTTTTAAATACTAAAATATGAAGAGAGCGTTGCACTGTAATTTCAGCAACTCAGGCGGCTAAAGTAGGAGAATCACAAATTCAAAGCCAGCCTTAACAACTTAGCAAACTTATCATCAGCTCTTAGACCCTGTGTCAAAATAAAAAGGGCTGAGGGTATAATAGCTCAGTAGCAAAGCACCTCTAGGTTCAATCCTAGTTCAAAAAAAAAAAAAAAAGAAGAAGAAGAATATAAAATATGATGAGAGCAAACTCTCATGCTGTACGTAATATTC